ACACGTTTATTTTCTCTATTTCGTTAATAATATAAAGTCCATAAACACGAATTGAACACCCGCAATTATTCTTTATCCGAAAGTAGTAGAAAACACATGACAATGAAAGCAACAGCTGCAAGCCTGCACCCGCGGCCGACAGTGAAATTCGCGTTGGATGGTTGGCGTAAATTTGATATTGAGACTCTCTCGTTAGGCAATGCGTTCATCAATTGCCCCATATGCCTTGCATACAACCGCGGCTCGATACTGACAATGAAGTTTGACAATAAATCAAGTTAACGTTATTTTGAGAATCAACAATCAACATGCTACCCTCGTACTAGCTACTAATTGTAGATCGTTGTGCTTCAATACATTTTAGTTTTTAATAACTTATAAGTGCCTAAATAATTTGGTTCCAGTATATCTAAGTGATTATTTTGTTAACAGCAGAAGATTAAAAATATCGAGTATAAAGAGATCATCGTTTATCATGTTACTAATTATTAAACCTTTCCAAAAAACCTTTGCATTTTCGTACACAGAGTCCTTGTTTTGAATCCGGTTTTGTCTATTTCGAGTCCGGGTTTTCAGAAGTCAAGTCCGGGTTTTGTTAAACACGAGTCCGGATTTTCTTCGAGTCCGAGTCCGGGTCCGAGTCCAGTCCGGGTTTCGAAGTATGCCCATCTTTTTTAAGAGTGAAGGCTTCAATGTTTACTGTTTAGTGATCAGCGGTATTGCGTGTAGTCTTGAATTTTTTACCTGCGGCAGCATATTTTTGGCATTGCGGCAGGATAAAATTGTGGTCTTTTCAACTGCGGCAGTCTCCTGCGGCAGCCAAAGCGTACTTTCCACTATGGCTTATGGTTAGGGTTAACTTAGGGTTAGGGTTGCACTTAGGGTTATGGTTAACTTAGGGTTAGCTTAGGGTTAGGCTTAGGGTTAGGCTTAGCTTAGGGGTAGGGTTAACTTTGGGTTAGCTTAGGGTTAGGCTTATCTTAGGGTTAGGGTTAACTTAGCGTTAGGCTTAGCTTAGAGTTAGAGTTAACTTATTGTTAGGGATGCACTTAAGGTTAGGGTTAACTTAGTGTTAGTGTTGAACTTAGGTTAGGGTTAACTTAGGGTTTGCTTAGGGTTAGGGTTAGCTTAGGGTTAGGATTAACTTAGTGTTAGCTTAGGGTTAGGGTTAGCTTAGGGTTAGAGTTATCTTAGGGTTAGGGTTAACTTAGGGTTAGGATGCACTTCAGGTTTGGATTAACTTAGGGATAGCTTAGGGTTAGGGTTAACTTAGGGTTACCTTAGGGTTAGGCTTAGGGTTAGGCTTAGCTTAGGGTTAGAGTTAACTTAGGGTTAGGGATGCACTTAATGTTAGGGTTAACTTAGGGTTCGGGTTAGCATAGGGATAAGATTAACTTAGGGTTAGCTTAGGGTTAGGGTTAACTTAGGGTTACCTTAGGGTTAGGCTTAGGGTTAGGCTTAGCTTAGGGTTAGAGTTAACTTAGGGTTAGGCTTAGGGTTAGTCTTAGCTTAGGGTTAGGGTTAACTTAGGGTTGGCTTAGGGTTAGGCTTAGCTTAGGGTTAGAGTTAACTTAGGGTTAGGGATGCATTCAAGGTTAAAGTTAGCTTAGGGTTAGGGTTAGCTTAGGGATAGGATTAACTTAGGGTTAGGCTTAGCTTTGGGTTAGGGTTAACTTAGGGTTAGGGATGCACTTAAGGTTAGGGTTAGTCTTAGCTTAGGTTAGGGTTAGGTTAGGGTTAGGGTTAACTTTGGGTTAGGGTTAACTTAGGATTAGGGATGCACTTAAGGTTAGGGTTAACTTAGGGTTCGGGTTAGCTTAGGTATAGGACTAAATTAGGGTTAGCTTAGGGTTAGGGTTAGCTTAGGGTTAGGGTTAACTTAGGGTTAGGGATGCACTTAAGGTTTGGGTTAACTTAGGGTTAGCTTAGGGTTAGGGGTAGCTTAGGGTTAGAGTTAACTTAGGGTTAGGGATGCACTTAAGGTTAGGGCTGGGTTAGGGTTAGCTTAGGGTTAGGGTCAACTTAAAGTTAGCTTAGGGTTAGGATTAGGGTTAACTTAGGCTTAGGGTTGCACTTAGGGTTAGAGTTGCACTTACTTAGGGTTAGGGTTAACTTAGGGTTTGCTTAGGGTTAGCTTAGGGTTAGGATTAACTTAGTGTTAGCGTAGGGTTAGGGTTAGCTTAAGGTTAGATTTAACTTAGGGTTAGGGTTAACTTAGGGTTAGGGATGCACTTAAGGTTAGGGTTAACTTAGGGTTCGGTTAGCTTAGGGTTAGGATTAACTTAGGGTTAGCTAAATATTCTACTTCTAATTTCTTGGCATTGGCGGTTTTATATGAATACCTTAATTCAATGCTTATAATTTCTTGCTTTTTGTATGTATAATGCATCAGTCAAATCTAAGCATGCCCATCGTCCTGTAAAGCACGTCCGAGGGGTTGGGCATTTGAACTAAAACATATATGCATGGGGGCGGTGCATTAGAAATTAAGGAGTTGGAGGTTTTATTATCACCGATAACTTGATAATAGTATAAAACAAAGCAAACTCCATGTTTTCCACCTGAAACTCTTCCATGATAAAATATTCAATATAAACGAGTCAAGTTGTGGTTTAAAAATGCGTAAATTTAAACCAGCTGGAAACCTTAAAATTAAATGATCTAGAGCATGATGACAGCAAAACGCAGTGTGACGCATAATACTTGATAGCCTGCAACACAGGCGAAACCTTGAGCGATATATTAATTAATTCAGAGGGCATTTGCTCGAAACGTCGAAGAAGGTATTTTCTTTATTTTCAAATAGTTGGTTAACCTAGTCTTTCTAGCCGAACAGTCCGGCGGTCCCCGTGGTGGGGGATTTGCTACTGATATTTTGCCCCACTAGCCCTGGGGGCAATTGTCACATGTTTTTTATCCCCATCCCCAACTGTCAATAGCCTGGGGGTCTGCCGGGGGGATGGACACGCTTGGATTTGACTGATGCATTATTATAATACTGTATGTAGCAAAGCTAGCCATAGCAACAGGTCATGCTATGCAAATTTTTAACTATTTGCATTATTCAAATGATACAGGTTAATTAGGAGAGCAAATTGTATCTTTCAAATCGTATCCGAAGATAGTCAACGGTATAACCATTCAAGTTGAACGGTCATCCCGAAGGCAGTCAACTGTCTTTAGCATAACCATTCAACGTGGAAAACATTTGACTGTCTGATGTTTATGCCGAAGACAGTTAACTGCCTTCGGCATAACCGTTCAACTTGAATGGTTATACCGTTGACTATCTTCGGCATAAAGATACAATTTGGATGTTTACGCCGTTGACTGTCTTCAACATGAAGGTTAATTAGGAGAGCATGACCAGTTGCCGTGGCTAGCTATAGCCACTGAATACTGTATAATGATATGTATAGAAATATTACGTCAGTTTTTGTCCGAATTATCATTTACATGGCACCTTCAAGACTACTACCGCTATCGCAAAACAACCCAACAATCTGATGGGGAGATAACATGTATTTGTTGACATTTTTGTTGAATTAATATGTCAGGTTCGGATGACACCATTCATTGTACTCAGCGGTCGAAAATTGTACTCAGTCAGAACCGCAAAACTATACAATAAGAAATAAATTGTGAGCATTATCGAATATATAATTTGTACGAGTAGACCGGTAGGATTATTTCATATTATGTTAACAATGGAAATTTCTCAGAGATATAAACAGTGGCATTGTACAAACGTCGGTTGACATGCTATTTACATGTAAACTGCCGGTAGCCTGGTAAGTGTTGTTGTCTGTACAGTATATATATATATATATATATATATATATATATATATATATATATATATATATATATATATATATATATATATATATATATATACTGTACAGACAACAATCCCCACACTGGGTTGCTATAGGGCCTGCATGATTACGTGCCATAAGTATATAAAACAGTCCTCGTTTGTTTTCAAAACGTGCTGAAATACCATTGCTATAAACATCTAGAATGAACACTATAAACGCATCGCGTAGGCACATCGCCACACAAGCAAATAAACTAAAAGTACATTTTCACTCCTTAATTGTATATAAAATAAGACATTATTGACATAATGACATCATATGTTTCACTAGCTCTGTATCGAATGCTAAACAGCAGATCTATGCCTTCATCACTTCATGTATATCACCAGAAAGAAACAAAGCCATTCTTACCTGATTTATTCTTTGATATTGTCAAATGTCAATCGTTGCAATCCAACATAAAAACTCGTATGGTCTCGAATTAAAACTGAAATCTTGAGACCGGCTGTGAGAAGAAACATGCGTGCTGCTTGCACATACAAAATAAAGTTTGAACGCCCCCCTTGTTTAAAAAACTTCCGGAAGCTAAATTATTCCTCCCGGAAATCATCTTAACAGACAGAGAGACACAAATCAAGATCTCGACAATACATAGATCGCGCGAAAGACTGGATCGAGTGGACTCTGGAGAAACCACCGCGTGTCAAGAATAGTGTGGTGTCTCACTTCGCTCGGCAGCGTTTATCCTATTTTATTAACTGTGGCTATATACTGCTTTACTAATGCACATTTATGCAAAAATGTAATTTAGACCGGCAATTTACAGTCGGCCCTTATTTGGTCCCTTTTTTGCCCGAAATGATAAAAAGGAGGCATTCAAAAGTAAAATGAACACAAGAGTTTAATTTTAGTTTATTTTAATCAATATGTTTAAAACAGGATATTGAACACTTCAGTGTTAATAGTTAAGATAAATATGAGTTTTGCATGTAGGCTGTTCAACTTATCCAGTAGCAGTTTTTCGTTTATTATAGAAAGTACATATGAAAGTAGAAAGATTAAAATACGAGAAAAAAGGAGAATGGACAAAAATACTAAAATATATATCTACAGGCTCAATTATACGAACATATAGATGATCTTTTATCCTTAGAATTATAGTTATATATGTTCGACATCTTAAAAGTTTTCTTGCCTAAATCCAAAGCCAAACTCCTGACAATATGCTTTTAACGTTTTCCCAAGAGCTGGATTTCCGCAATAAAACACGGAGATTTTTCCATTCTTCTGCTGCTGCAGGTCACGGAATACCTTAAAAGTAATGATACGTGATAGATAAATTTAATGATGCTGATCGCAACAACATTTTACTGCCAGTTTAGTAGATAAAGAATGCTACAACGACTGCAAAATTATTACTGAATGCTGATTGTTGGCTTCCTGCATGCAGTATAGGCAGCTTTATCAACAATACCGAAAAATTTGGTTGAAGTATGCAACTCTATTTTTTAAAAATGTAGCACTACTTTCTATGTTTTTCCTGTAGTTATATTCCTCATTCCAACTAACTGTTTTTGAAGTTGTGAAGTAATTTAGAGTTAGTACTGAAATGGTTTTGTAGACTTAAGCTTTTTGAAGATAAGAAGTCGTCTCTGGTTGAAATTTCTAATTTGAAGATAAGAAGTTGCTTTTGGTTGAGCTTGATTTCTTTATAGTCAAGAAAACGGAAAAGTAAAACATACATGCATATTTAGGCTTATTATTGAAGATTGATGACCCGAACTTACATTTTTACATCAATATTGAAGTATAATCCCCGTGGTGAGGGAACTAATTCCGCTCGGCTATTTCCACGAGGCAAAAGGAAAACATAGTGAAGTCTAAAGTTCATCAATGATTGCGAGCGCGTCACTATGTTTCATGGGTGGACCTCCCACTGATCTCAAAAGTACGGCGAATTTCAGGAGTGGGTCAGTTGAATGAGTGGATTTGAAAACATCAACGAGAAATCCGAGTAATCGTTTAATGGGACGAGCAGCCAAACAGTTTATTTGTTTTGCCTCATTGACAAAATATCAGGGGCAATATAGCTACATTGCTGGAAATCTATTTGTTTTTAAGATGATGTATTGTTTGCTTTAAAAAATGATGTTGCGTATTATTAAAAAGACAACGTATAAAGTGCATTATTTTCATTTTTATTAATTTAGATTATTAAAAATCTCTAAATAAAAGGAAAAGCAAAGTTATTTTCATGACAGAATTTCATAATCGTTCTTATTTAAAACTCAGAATATATCAATTAAATGCAGTTTACTTTTATGACTTTCTTTGCAAACGCGCATGTGGTTGAATTTTACATTAGATTAAAGTTTATATTACGCATATAATAACATACCTATCGTACACATTTCGGAAATTGTTAATATTGTAAATTATAATTTCAGGCCGTAAATATTAAAAAATAGACAAAAGAAGTGAAAAATACAGTTATCATGTTACCGTAAGAACAACTCCAAATTCTTCATGTTTTAAAAATATAATGGTTTTGCCAGCAAGGCAAGGGGTTTCTACATGTACGTATTTCTAGTTTAGTGCATTTTTGAGCCGGCGAAACGTCGCCAGAACCTTAAAATGCTTCACCTTAAAATAGCTATTGAATTTTAATCCGTTAGAAATAAAGTGCAAAATTAATTTTCATCCATGCCCATAATGATTAAAGAGGCAGTCAAACTAGCCTGCGTGGCAGACGGTCAGACCCTGGCGGAACACCTAAAAACGGGCCGGCAAGGCGAAAGACCGTCTGCCGGATTTCACTTTGTATTTGAATTACACGTCGATCAGTGGATGGGAATTGATGGTTGGCTGTATTATTTTTGCCACTGTCAAGAAAGAGGAAATATGCGTTTATGTCCAATACTAATTAACTAGAAAATACATGCATGCATGCATGCAAAAACACCTCGCCTTGCTGACAAGACCATTGTATTTTCCGAACATGAAATATTTAAAGTATATTAATAAATTAAAATATTAAAATTATCGTGTTATGTTACCATGACAAGTGTCATGGTAACACGATTTATTTTGCTAAGAATATTTTTACAAACGAAAAATCCCATAAAAACGCAATCTCGTATCCAGCGTATGCCCGTTCGTAGGTTAGGTGCTGTGCATGACTCAGGAGAAATGGAATGAAATTATCAATTTCATTGGCTGGCGTGAGATCAATGACACCGATACCGGAAATTGGTGTTTAAGTGCGGGAATTACACAAAACAAAAGTCGAAATTACATTTATTTGCAAGATTTCAAATACAAGTTAAATGTTATATTAATTCTGATTGAGGATTTACGTACGACTGTACACTTTTGAATGTTATATTATGGCAAATACTTTTTGTTGTTTAAATATAAAATACCGATATGAATGCTGACTGACATGACTGAATTCCCGAAACAGATGTAATAAAATATTTACTTCCATTCAATTGCGCTAGTTATCTCCAGTGTTGGTCTTTTGGCATTTTGTGGTTTTGACTTGTCGTTCTGGACCTGTGTTTGGACATAGCGAGCATATATTAATTTTTGGGTGGATATAAGACTGCATGTATTTTTGAAAATACCATAATATTCATATAATTTTATAAATACACTATAGTTAAAGTAATTCTGTGATCCATGGATCTGCTACAAATACATCAAGTGAAATATTCGATAAAAGTAGCCGAATTTTATAACAAATCTACTGTTAATTTAAGCCATCTCAAATTGAGATTACAAAAAAAGCATATATGCTGTTTGTTAATGGTGAAAGTGTGTGCAATAATTTATAGATTCCATGCCTTAAATAAATAGGCTGTTTGGGGCTTAACAAAAAATAAACAGGACAGCAGTGTAGCCGGTAGCGTGCAAACCACGGTAACCACTCTCCCATTTGTGAAAGCCTTTGGATGATAGTAGAAATATTTTTTCAACCATTTTTTTAAGCTATAAGTTGCCAGAATTTTGAGGCAAAAATTTAAAGAACTGCGATTTAGAGCACTAAAAGGTGTTCACATTGTGGCAACCTAAATTTAGCTTTCTCACCAAAAGTGTCTGCTACTGCAGTAAAAGCATACAATTTGATGTCCTGAAATTATATATGCAAACAATATCGGTATAGCTACAACAATGTCGCAGACTCAGAGTGGCAGCAGGTCATGCCACATGCATCTTGCATTCCGCCTGCAACATTATATATTTAACGTACAGTATATATTCAATGGCAATAGAAGCTAGTTATGCCTGTTTATCTCCCAGGAATATGCAGCAATTTCAGGAGGTCAGGGTGGCTTATCCCATAACCCCCAATAATGGCATATTTCTCAATCAGTGCCCCCCAGTATTTGGATAGGCAATTTAGCAACACCCTGCCTTGCCTGCCACCTTTCAGACAGGCGCCTGACCTGATGACATTGTCCTATGTTAATTGTTAAACTTAATAGTTATGATAATATTGTAGGCTATCAGTATATATTCAATGGCAATAGAAGCTAGTTATGCCTGTTTATCTCCCAGGAATATGCAGCAATTTCAGGAGGTCAGGGTGGCTTATCCCATAACCCCCAATAATGGCATATTTCTCAATCAGTGCCCCCCAGTATTTGGATAGGCAATTTAGCAACACCCTGCCTTGCCTGCCACCTTTCAGACAGGCGCCTGACCTGATGACATTGTCCTATGTTAATTGTTAAACTTAATAGTTATGATAATATTGTAGGCTATCAGTATATATTCAATGGCAATAGAAGCTAGTTATGCCTGTTTATCTCCCAGGAATATGCAGCAATTTCAGGAGGTCAGGGTGGCTTATCCCATAACCCCCAATAATGGCATATTTCTCAATCAGTGCCCCCCAGTATTTGGATAGGCAATTTAGCAACACCCTGCCTTGCCTGCCACCTTTCAGACAGGCGCCTGACCTGATGACATTGTCCTATGTTAATTGTTAAACTTAATAGTTATGATAATATTGTAGGCTATCAGCAAAAACACTTCAAACACTGTATCCTAATTCCATTTAATTAATTTATTTTCAAGCATCAATAATTGTGAACATAATTTTTTATGACTTATTTAAATAAATTGGAATGGAACTGCATGTTTGTACAAAAATGAAATTAACAATGCACAATGTTAAATCAAAGGAATGATACAGCGGGAAATATTTTGATACTCATTTTAAATATCAATCCATCAAGGGTTATACAAATAGGTTAACCAGCCACAGGTCCATCAAACATTCTAGCCGGATATTTTAATAGTATAAAAACTATCTAATATGGTATGTTTAGAGCATTATAACTTGCAAAATAGTAAAAATGTAACAATCATCCTCTAATAAACCTTCTAGCTTTGCGAAGTCTCGATACCATTTCTTGATCTTATAAAATCCATAAAAATGCTTAGTTCATATACACCGTATATATAACTATTTACTTTCAATTGTAACACTTAGCATAAGAAGATAAATATTTTTAAATTGATTTCAATCTAAAAAGTATCAAATTTTCAACAAATTCTACGATTTTATTTATAATTGCAACTTATGACGCCCGCGCGAATGGGTATAGATAAAAGGCGGACGGAGGGCGGACTACGGAGCATGCATTTTATAAACACATGATTGCCACCGCAACTAATTATTATAGGCCCTACAATAGTTTTGTTTGTGAAAACACCACGTATAAAAACAAACAAACAAAACTATTATAAAAAAAAACATGTAAACATACAAAGAAGTTAATTATTATACCCTAAATTAAAGTATACCAGTGAAATCGGTGAAATGAATATGTTTTCACAAGTTCCGAAATTTGTAGCAATGGTATTTTTTAATCAGAATTTGATACGTATGTATGATAGGTTATACGCCGTCTTTCTCGGGAAACTTTTGGAAATATTGTAAAAATCGCCTTATATAGTTTTCAAGCTTCTGTTAGGCAGAATTAAATGACATTCACTTGCTGACATTTTCGTACTTTAAATAGTGCCGACTTGTTGTTTTATAATAAAAATAATCCCCATTTTACTACCTATAAACCTTAGAGCTTCACACGTAGCAAATGGCCTATTTACATGCGACGACTGTTCTATATGCGGATTTTAGAAATATCATATTATTCATATATTAGGGGCGGATTGATGGGGTAGATTTTCATTGAGCCCAATAAGTTTCTAACTTGCTAAGTAATGCTGTTCGATCTTTTCTTGAACGATTTTTTTTATTTCGTGGGAACATATAAAAAATTGCATTGCTAAGAATTCGAACGGGTGAAAATATACTGTAATTTAAAAATAAAAATTAAAGCCCAGCAAATGACTTTCAGACAAGACATAACAAAAATATAAAACTTATTGGCTGACGTTTCGTTGTATTGTTCACAACATCTTATCTTCAGAGCAATTAAACTTATTTACAAGTGTGTATTATACACGTGTATTATATATACACGTGTATTATATGTACGTGTATTTTATACAGAGCAATTAAATAAGTATAACTGCTCTGAAGATGTTGTGAACAATACAACAAAACGTTAGCCAATAAATTTTATATTTTTGTTATGTCTTGTCTGAAAGTCATTTGCTGGGCTTTAATTTTCATTTTTAAATTTCGCTTTCCACCCGGTGTATCAATGGGTGAAAACATACTCATTTTACAGATGTAAAGCTGGTATGCCTTTTTCTAGAGTATTATAACAAGTTGCGATAGTAACCATGTGTTTATAAAATGCTCTGCCGTCCGTCGTCCGCCGCCCGCGGCCCGCATTTTATCCGTCGGCCTTTTATCTACACCCCGCGCGAATTCAGTGTTGCGCGGTTTGAGCAACTAACCGGATATATATATATATATATATATATATATATATATATATATATATATATATATATATATATATATATATATATATATATATATATATATATATATATATATATATATATATCCAAAATTGTATATCCGGTCATTCCGTTTCTCCAAAGTGCATACTCTGGGTACGAGATTGATAAAAGTATCACTTTGAATTAGTTTTCCCAAACATATATATGTTAGGCAATGTTATTATACGTAATAGAAGCATCAATTTAAGGTAAAATTCAACCTCAAACGCTTCGCAAAAACGTTTTAAAACGTTCTTTATAAAACTATTAAACTGCCATTATCGAAGAAGTCTGAGTTTGAAATGAAATGATTTCAAATTCTCGCATTCAAATAACTTTCCTTTCTTTTTCATTTAAAAATAATAATATAATCAAAATGCGTAATCAATACAGAAACGCTAACACTGGAATTATATGTTGTCTTTTTTAATTTAAAATATATGCAACGATCAGCTGTTAAAGCAATTATAAAACGAACAATACATCAATATTTAAAACAAACTTATCTTCCTTAACATCGGAGCATTTACTCTCCCTTCTTTTAGCAATTAGCAATTCTTTCGCCTATATATTTTCTCAAAAAGCTTTTGAAATTTACAAAATCTTGCAAAAATAAAATATATTGGCAAGAAATCATCAAATCAAGAAATGTTTGCTATTTTGCTGCCGTCATGCAGTCGTTATAATGCAAATTTTCAATTTGAGCAATCAGTGTCCGCTATTCACGACATTCCGCCATATCTTTTAGATCAGTGAGGATGACTGCCCACCAGTGAACTTAATCTATTTACCTGGAACGATAACATTCATTCATTTATTTTGGCCGTTAAAAAGTGAAGCCTCGCGTGAGCAACGCGTGAGCAGTGGCGTCAGCCCTACACGCCATTTCCACGCCATATTGTACGCCATCACCGCGCGGTCTGTCACGATCTATCGGTCTATCACAATCTATCGGTCTATCGCGGTCTGTCAGCGCGCGTCAGCACGCTGGCGTTAGCATGGAGTGGCGCTGGCATTGGCTTCACGTTTCTCTCGCATGTTATCATTCCAGATAAAAGACATGGAGTTAATTAATAGCTGTTATCGTAATTGAATACGCCGCTGCGGCGAATCAGCGGTATCTCAGTGGAAGTACGCACGAAAACGAGGCTAAAGGGTCAAAAAACACAAAACAGGACCCTATAGCCTCGTCTCCATGTCAAAATAATGCAGATACCGCAGGTTCGTAGCATAGACGTATTCAATTACAATAACAGCTATTGGCACCCCACGCACAGTAACCCACGCCCGCGATCATTGATGAACTTTAGATTTCGCTAATGTTAATACCCTCGTCCGGGCTTACGCGCGGACGTTGGGTCGGAGATCACGCAATAACAACGGTTTGCAAGTTAAAAGTTTCAAAATCTAGTTCGAGACGCCAACTATTAATTCTGAAAAGCCAAGTCAAGGTAATGGGTTTGAGAATTGCTTGTTGAAAAACATGTTTTAATTGTTTTGGCTAGCCGGCCAGGATAAAAGTCGTTTGATGTCGCTACCGTCAAGTGTTTGACTTGAATGGACTGTTTTTTAGCTGTGAACATGGGCATGGTTTATTTACATATTGGTGCAGTCTATTCTCTTTGAAACGTAAGCACGATAACATCTTGCAATACTAGACTCAACATTTACTTTGCTCTTACCCAAATTGCTCGAAATACTTGACAAATTTTGTACCAACGCTGTCTGCAGATGGGTTTTTTTAATTACGGAATGAAATTTGTTGCTTAATATCTAAATTAACGCTTTAGCTTCTACGTTTTACCTTCCATGATGCATTCTGAATGTACATAACTACTGTAGCTAATCTATCTCTGGCCCATATGATATATATTGTTTGAAACAAAAAATCTAAAAAAAAAGCGCGCTGTGAGCGGAACTGCCTTGATTATTTTTCTCGATTATTTTTCTGCAATTGTCAATGCACATACTACATAGAAAAGTTATTGAATTATTGATGCCAAAGTACAAGTTCATGTCATGAATCTCCAATAACCGTTACATATGGATGCAATTTTGATTTTTAATCGACGTCTTGATTAGTTTGTAGTCATCCTCAGGATTAATAATATTTACCTGATTATTATTATTAATCCTGATAGATGCAATTTTTCTTCCAACTTAACGAAGAGGAAAGTACCAAAGTAGAACTAGCTTATAACTTTTTAACCCCAAATAATTATGTTCTGATTGTTTTTAACCCCATCTCACCTTGTCCCAATCCGGTCTACCAGGATTTGTTCTTGTCTTCAAACCAGTGATCAAATCTTTCTCCTTCTTGTTGTGAATAAGTTCAAGTGCCAGTTGTAATCCAACGGCTTTCATGTCTTCTTTCCTCAAAGCCGATGTCATGTAAATATGCATGTCGAGAAAATGGTCGTTAAATACTCCTTTACTCTCAGATTGCTCCACCTCAAGCTGGTTCAGGAGACTCAAAAACCATTCAAATGAATGCTGGTCACGGTTTATCCAAAAGAAGTCGACCTATATAATCAATCACATCATTGTGTTATCGTACTTATTATATAAATGAGAAAATTACTGCAATCTGATTGGTTAAGAGAAGTGGGGAAATCTTTTCATTAATTACACTCCTGGTAAGTCCAATTAGAAGAAAAAATGGCGGCTCGCTTTGTAAACACAAATGAGTCTACAATTCAGTTACAGGTACTTTTAAACAAAAGCAGAAAATGAAAATACACAAAAAGAAGTGACCTAAAACATTTGCTTGTTGACGAATGAAGAACTTGCGATTCATATTTATTGCTGCTTCGCTTGGACATTTCGAATATATATTTGAATTTCACACCAATCATAAATTAAACCATTTCATTGTCAAGGAGGATGTTTATAGTTTTTCAATATATACATGTGATCTCTGCATTCACGTGACACTAATAGCTTGGGTGCAATAGCTACAACAGGCGGTTTATGATAACATTAGAGACCTTCAGATTGACGTTTACGGCAAACGTCAAACAGCTAGCGAAGTTTTTGATTTTACAACTCTATTATAATAGTTTTTACACCAGTTTTGAAATATGTTAAATTTATTAAACTTGTGCTCTTTAGCAATGATTTAAGAAAGCGAATTAACCACTAGTCATGCCATTTACCAAAGCAGTAAATTAAGATTTGGCGTTTGAAGTTGGCGTTTGGCGTATAGATTTCATGCTTGAACTGCTACGAGGCTTGTAGTCGTTAAAGCATGAAATTTATGCGTCAAACGTCAACTTCGTACGCCAAATCTTCATTTACTGCTTTGGTGAATGGCATGACTAGTGGTTAATTTTCTTTCTTAAATCATTGCTAAAGACCAGAAGTTTAATCAGTTTAACATATTTCAAAACTGGTGTAAAAGCTACAATAATAGAGCTGTAAAATCAAAAACTTCGCTAGCGGTTTGACGTTTGCCGTAAACGTCAATCTTAAGGTCTCTATTGTCATAAACCGCCTCGACAACTCGTGCAATTTTGGCAAAAATCACTCACAGTGTTAATCATTAATTGTACTCCTTCCGGTGTGATTACCTAAAGTAATCGAACATTGCATCTTGTACAAAGCATAGCAGAAAAGCACTAAAATTTTCGTTAGGCGATAGCCAAGATTTTACGACAACTTTTTGATATCACATTTACCGATCGCTTGGTAAGATCGAGTCAATAAGTCAATTTGCACATCACTTTATTTGTAAGAATTCATAGACAGTAACGAATCGATTCGATGATGATCTGGAAGCCTGGCGAACGTTAAAGCAACAAAATATAAGACACTTATTGTTTGAGTGTCTCATGTTTCACCTCAGATATTGGACGTTTATTATGCGAAAATACCATAAGCTCAATCATGGTGACCGACCACAAATTCTCATAAACATAACAAAATTACTCAGACCATCATATCTTGATAGACTATTATCCCAATAGACACGATTTTTTTTAATGGTTCCAATAGACTCGATTCTTGTTGCATGAGTGGACAGGCAACTATATCTTGCAGTGCTGCAGTAAACGAGTCCTATACAGGGTGTATAAAAACACTGAACAGATATTAGTATCCAGCTTTTGATGTATATAGCTTCTTTGGGTACTTAGAATGTAGAATAATGAAAAAAATTCTCGAAGTCAAATTTTGTGAACCAGGGGTGGGGTGTCTTTTCCAACAAACCAAAAATGGCTTGCGCACGAAATTTAAAAGCTTTAATCATATTTGAGTTAATAGATGGACAATTTGTTGGGTTTTTAATTACTGCACAAAATTTCAGACAATTTTCTTTAGTTTAAGCCGGTTATCATTTCACGCAAACTTTGCCTAATTTGCATATGTCAGCAATATACAAATTGGGTAAATGCATTAATTAAGCATGCGAAAGGCTGATTTTTTAGGGAAAAATAAATAGTTAAAGGGCTTAAACTGAATCAAGTTGTCTGAAATTTTAATTGTACAGTAATTAAAAACCCAACAAATTTTCCATCTATTAAAGATGCGGTACAGTCCGTATGTAAACAAAGGCTTTGTTTACATTTCTGTATCTAAAATATTGAATTTTATTCGACAACTAGTTATATTTTTATGATTATAGAGTATAATAAATTAAGAAGAGACAACAATCAAGCTTTGCAAGAACATAAAATGAAATAGAAACCTAAATAAACTGTTTGTAAATAAAAAGAGGGCTCCTTTGTGCACATGCGCAGATAGGACTGTACCGCATCTTTAACTCAAAATATGATTAAAGCTTTTAAATTTCGTGTGCAAACCATTTTTAGTTTGTTGGAAACGACACCCTCCCCCCCCCCCCTGGTTCAGAAAATTTGAGTTCGAGAATTTTTTTTCATTATTCTACATTATAAGTACCCAAAAAAGCTATATACATAAAAAACTGGATACGATTTGAAATCTGTTCAGTTTTTTTATACACCCTGTAGATCAACACTTTGCCGACCTTCCAGAATATTTTTCATGAGCACTCAAGCAATTTCTGTAACCATGAATATTTTGCATATTATTTGCCCACCTTATGCAGTTTTCTCAAAGAATAAGGAACGTCACCAACCCAACAGTAATTACAGTTAGGACAAGAGTGCGAGGCGTTCTTGTATCGAAGCATTATAGTTTGAAGAATAGATGCAAAAGGTGTCACACCAATTCCACTTGAAATAAGCACAGCATGCTCTGCTTCTGTGAAATGTGTAGCAGGAGCTCCATACGGACCATCCACGTAAATCTAAATGGAAGATATATTTCGCACAGATAAGCAAATAATACGTAATACAAAAACTTTCTGTACTAATATTTTCGTGACACTACTTAAGGTGTTTATTTATTTTAATTTATTTATTCATTTTGTCACACACATAAAAGATATACATTTACATAGAGATATAAGAATAACAATAACTAGAAAATGCTCTGACAGGAGGAGGAAACAGAAACTGAATTCCAATTGATATTCGACCCCTTAGCAATTAATTTAAAACGAGACGTACTAAGACAATTATGCACGAACATATCACAGACACAGATTACATGCAACTTAAAATACTCATAAACCTTGTGGCAAATCATGTCAGCCATAATATGCCACATGCAGTGACTTTATATCTGATAAAGCATGTGGCATTATATAATTGTTCATCCTAATTAGGATGATTATATAATGGTTCATCCTAATTAGTACTCTTTTGTTGTCGTATTTTAAGGTATTCAAAACACTCGTTGTCGTGTTTTATCAGACATAAAACGCTTGGCTGCTTCTTGCGTTTTATATCCGATAAAACACTCCTACTCGTGTTTTAAATAGTACTTAGGGGCCGATTACATAGAGCATTCTCAACCCCGGGGGTTGAACTCAGCCCTGTTAACCGGGTTGAAATTTTTTGCGATTACATGCATGGACGATTTCAACCCCGGGGTTGGAACGTTATACTATACGTTCTCGGCATCGATTCGCGGAAGTGAAAAACCCTTCATTTTGTTTTCTTGTGATAAATGGTCACTACCACTCATGCTCGAATAACTCATGTTAATTTCACCCCTAGGTTGAAACGTTCCTGCTAGCTAAAGCAGGGTTGAAATTTCAGACCCGGGGTTGAACTCAGTCCTGGATTGAAAATTTTGTCATGTAATCACGCGTTTGATTTTGGATAGAGTTTTGTAATACAGACAGGGCTGAAATTTCAACCCGGTAAACAGGGCTGAGTTCAACCCCGGGGTTGAGAATGCTCCATGTAATCGGCCCCTTAACATATAGGATACTGAACAACAAAAACAACGAATTTATTTATATATATATATATATATATATATATATATATATATATATATATATATATATATATATATATATATATATATATATATATATATATATT